TTTCCTGATATATTGATACATTCTGTGTATTTTTATCATTTTGACAATCATATATAATATTCTTCTTTCTGACAGATTCACTGATTATTGATTATTGATCAATCAGCTGTTTGCTTTCTGATGCAGGACTAGGCTGTTGATCAGCTCTGGCACTGTACACTGTGATCAATAGTAATTATAATAATAATACAAAAATGTCTTACACGTCTTTAAATCAAAGCTCTGGCACCCCACGCTGGGGGTCCTGAATATAAAGTTACCTTATTGCAGGACTTCCTGTTTCACTGGGTTAGTGGTTGTTGTCTGTGTGAGGTACCTTCAGGTCCTTCAGTGACTCCAGATATGAAACAACCAGCAGCCCATGCATCCTAACCCTAACCTCAGTCGATAAAAGTGTTGATACCAGTGATCAGTAACCAGGACTCAACAATATCTGTGAAATTAACTTTATCTGCAGTGTCTGAAAGATCTGTGTGTGGATTATTGAAGAATAAAGATCCTCATCCTCCTGCTGATGTTTGAGTCTTTATACACTGACCAGTGGATCATGAAAGCTGCTCTGTGTGGCAGTGATGAGACAAAGTGCTTCATTCAGGGAGGATTTGTTGCTCTCTGCTGCCTCCTGCAGGAACAACTGAGAAACAGCAGAGAACATACGCATTCATTTAGAATACAACATATAATATTGGTATATACAGTATATATAACATACTAATACTACTACTATAACATATTACTAATAATATTACTAATACTACTAATACTACTAATACTAATACTACTACTAACTCCAATACACCCATTAATGCATGTTACTAACTTTACTTCTTCCCCGGAGTTCTTGTGCTTTCTCATCTCGCAGGTTCTCCATGGATCCTGGTGGAGCTCTGCCATGGTACTGGCTTGACTGCCATTGCAATAATTCCATACTGATATTATTGTTATTACTATTATTATTATTGTTCATCGTCCCCCATCATTGTGGCTGTTCGTCATCATCATCATCATCAGTCATTTCTGTTAGTATAGTTGTTGCTGATATAATGATGTTGGTAATTGCTATAATAAATTATAGTAATTGATAACTTTATTATTCTCAACACTACCTACCTCACACACTGAGCAAGGTCGGACAGTTTAGACTCTGGGACCTGTAAGCTGAGCAAATATGATAGACAAAGGATATTTTCCAGGTGAGGATAATTTTATTCACAAATAAATTCTACCCAAGCAAAGAATTTGGACATATTCTCAGTTGTGATGTGACCAGTAGTATGACAGTATGAATGAGTGAATGTGATGCAGTGTAAAAGCGCTTTGAGTGGTCAGAGGACTAGAAAGGAGCCATATGAGTCCATTTACCATTTACCATTACTTGTGACTGCAGGTAAGGCTTTTTATTTGTGCCAGGAAGAGGAAAAGCATGAATAAATCATTTTCTTGGTTAATTAAACTACACTGTATGAAAAAACATTTGTGGACACGTTTTTTTAAATCATTAACATACGTAGCCTTGCAGCTGCTGTTTGTATCTTTTTAACTGGATAAAATTGACATGATGCCTTGAAAATGTAAGTTCTGACATATCAAGGCTCATCTTAAATCATAATATACTAGAATATCTATATATATCTAATATATCTGGAAAACATGCAGAAATAGCTCTCAGGTAGTTTACAAGCCCCGCCCACACCTCTACACAGCTCTCAGGTAGTTGAAGAGGGCAGTGAGCCCCCCCTCCAACACCTCCTTCACAGGCTTGAGCAGCGGGTTGTGGACGATGTGGAGTCCTTTATCTAGAGGATGACAGGCCAACTTCTCCAGTCGAGACAACTGGTGCATCTCCTGAAGACATCATCATCATCATCATCAACATCATCATTATCATGAGTTACCAACAGAGTGTCACAAGTAGTTTACCTGTGGGACGTCCTTAATGTCATTAAAGTCCAGATTCAGTAACTCCAACCTGGAGAAAATCAAATAATTTTAAATCAAAAAAAATCTCGAACCAACTGAAATCAGCTGGATTTTTTATCTGACAGGTATGGGAGCCAGAGTGAGGTTACTTCCTGGGTGTCTGCAGTTAGCTTGTATTGTACAGTGCAGTCTATATCTCATGAGATGGGTTACTTTGTAATGGAAGTTACCTGGTCAGGTGGGTCACCCATCCAAGGTGGGATCATCTGCTGAGGGGGTTCATTGTATGTTGATGCGGTTTACCTGATGAGGTGGAGTTACCTGGTGAGGAAGCAGAGGGCCTTAGGCAGAGAGTGGAGGCTGTTTCCCTCCACAATGAGGATCTTGAGCTCCACCAGAGCCTGGATATTCTCTGCCAGGTTCTCCAGACGGTTATAGGCCAGATGGAGGAACACCTGCAGGGACAGAGGAAGTGAATGACAGTATCAATAATAAATAATCAATAATTAACCTGAGATACAGTCAAATATGTTATGTTTACGGTGTGACTCAGTGAAGAAGGCATTAGTGGTGACAGATTCTAGACTTTACTGAACTAAAACCAATGATAATAAACAATAAAAACCTCAACCTTCTACCAATAAACATATAAGAGCAAAGGTCTTCATAATTAAAAATTATGCATATTATCATCATCATCATTATCATTACTTATTATTATGCGTCATTTTCAGAGTGATATTTGGTAGTTTACTCCCCAAGGGTCAGGGTTCAATCAGTGTCTTGTGAAAGTCATTTATAATGTCAACTTCAGTTCTTCACATGAAAACAGCTGCTTTCAGACCTCCAGGTTCAATTCAATTTTTCAATTCAATTCAATTCAGTTTTATTTGTATAGCGCCAAATAGAACAGGTCTAGACCGTACTCCTTATAAAATTATTTACAGAGACCCAACAGTATCACCATGAGCAAGACCTTGGCGACGGTGGCAAAGAAAAACGTCCTTTTAAGAGGCAGAAACCTCAGACAGACCCCAACTGTAGGTGGGTGGCCGTCGGCTTCGACCAGTGTGTGAATGTCGGATTCAGAAACTCCCAGAAATGGTCGGATGAAGCCCCATAATGTGACGTTGGTACTGGAATTGTGGATTTGGATTCAGCCTTTCGGACTGATGTGAACGTACCAGAGTCTTCATGTTGTAAACACAACCAGGGATATGAGCGATGTGGTTGTGACTGAGGTTGAGTTTCCTGAGTCGGGTCAGATTGGAAAGACAGGCAGGCAGCGAGGACAGCTGGTTGTTGGCCAAACTGAGCACCTGTCAGACACAAAGGAATGGAAGAAGTTTACTTTTATTCCAGCAGCTTCTGTTAGATTGGATGATCTCCTGTGGAGGGCGCCAGTGGTGGAAAGAGTACTGACATAGGCGGCGCTAGGGCGTCATATATGGGGAAGCTAAATTATTATGACGGGGGCAGCTCCTGATGACAAATAAAAACTTAATTATAAACCTTCCTGTAAGCTTTAGACTCTAACTTAGTCCCATTCCCAGGTCCTCAAATACCAACACTTTGGCAGAACGAATTTATTAATACCCTGTAAGGGAAATTCAAATTTGGCACAGCAGCACAGGGGAATGTAGTGCAAAGAGTACAGAAAGAAACAAACAAGGGTCCCAGAGCATAATGTTACAACTTTCAGGTCATCATTTGAGATTACATGCGCGATTAGTAAACGCTTTATTTATCCCAGGAGAACCAGAGGCAGCGCTGCTCAGAGGGGAAAATCAACAGTGATGCCTATTTGGCCCTCCATCAGCCTCGGGCCAGCGATTTGTCGTGTTTAGACGTTGTTTTTTTAACCTTTTTCCTCTGGTTTTAAATTGCCCGTTATATCAGAAATCAAAAGGCCAGGCCCAGGACAGTGGGGCGCACTATAGTTAAGGGCGAATCTTCATGTGTACAGTGACGTAACTTTGTTGTCCCGAGGAGAACCAATTGACCCAGTATATATAACTCAAGTGGAAGTGTATTTCAAGAGTAACATCATCAAGTAAGCCTTAGATAAGAGGGGACGCCAAAGCTTTCAATTAAATGGATGTAGGCGTTTCCAATGTTCTGCACCAGGATTTTCTTTTCCTGAAAGCCATTTATTAATTTGGTGAACCCCCCTTTTAACTGGCCCCAAAAGCTGCAATTTTTAAGGGAATGGTCCCCCTCCCCGCATCTGTTTTCCACTGAAAACAGAAGTACCCAAAAAAGACCCAACGGGTGCGCTAGAATGCCCCACTGCTGTTTGGCTTTGTTATGGAACGCCCAACGGCCCAGAAACTATTAGAGTAGAAGAAAAAAAATAACTGGAAAAATAATAACTAAAGGAAAGGTATGCCCACAAAAGTCCTTGGTGATGCCCCAGATGATGTCCCCTTTGTCCCTTCCTCTAACTGGTTGGAGGGCCTTTCGGGACGCAGTTGAGGACCAATCGTCTTCGTTTTGGGAGGGGTGGGGACAATTCATGATTCACGTTTCGGTACGAGTGGCAGCTGTCGTCTGCTGACAATGAGAAACGTACCTGCTGGAGAAGTCACGTGTCACTTTTGTTTGTTAAAGTATCATTTACTAATCCAGCTCAAGGTGAAGGAGACTACCAGTCTTTCTAAGATCTCCTCATCCCTGCTCGAAGTCCATGTACAGACGTCAGGGAAGCACAGAAAGTCAAAAAAAACCAGCGCTGCTGGACATGCTGCTGATCACCAACAACCCGTACGCACCTATACATCTCCCAAGCGAGAGGTAACGGTTGCCTCCATCAACGACCTCAGAGGGAGGTTGATGGCCACTGACAGTCTTCGATGTGTTCGGCTTCATCAGATTGAGAAGATGGGTGTCTATAAACTGACGGGCGCATAATGCACTACGGCTATGAAGTTCACCAGAGCCAGCGTGAGGAGCAGGGCAGAGCCCGATGGACAGGCTGCGATAAACGGCCTACTAATGGGGCTGAACTCTGCTGACCTCATCAAAGGGTTGTGCCATCCAGAGTCAAGGTAGGAAATGATATGTCCAAAGGCAAAGTGTGGACCAGTCTACTACGCCCTTGGTGCCTGGCGAAGTAGTGCTATGAAAGATGTTAATTGGATGGGGTGAGAATCAACCATCCCTGGACACAAAAACAGCATCGTCAGTACTTCAATAGGAGTGCTGGACTAGCTGGATTTTGAGATCTTTGATTTCAACACTTTTGAGCAGCTTTGCATTACTACACACAATGAGAAACTGCAGCAGTTTTCAAAGCAGGTCTACACACCACCAAAGTTACATCCTTTGCCAGAACTTATTGAGCCCCTTTAATTAATGTAGTATTTTTCCAGGGGCTTATAACATTATTTTTGGGCGAGTTCAAGTGGCCATACCATTGGGCAGTAATCCAAGACCATTCCCCTTTCCAGATCAAAAGTGGTATCCAAAATACCTTGGTATTTTTATGCCCACATGCAGCTGAAGCATTTCACAAACATAATATAGAGGCAATTATAGACATGGATCAAAAAATGACTTGAAAGAGCTGCTTCGTCCCTTTCTGTGATGGGAAAGCTTTCCCATTATTTACAAAATAATGTTTAACCCGAAGATCTGTGTCCAAAACATTCATTTGTTGCCCGAACAGCATCTCCCAATGAAGTATTCTGCATAAAATATATATGTATAATTTATATGGGATAACATAAAAGGAATTTAAATGAATAAAAACTGTATCTTCCCTAAATAGCAACTGGTATTTCAAGCGTGCGCCAGCTTTTTGTTTTGGAGTTTGGGTGCTCCCGCCCAATGCATCCTGGTCGCAGTCAAAGTTTGGACACACCCCTTCTCATTTAATGGTTTTTCCTTTATTTTTACTACATTTAAACCGGAGTTGTATAAGGTTCTCACCATGGAAGCCATCAAAACTATGAAATGACATATATGGATTCATGTAGTGACACACAAAAAAAGTGTGAAAATAGACTCCTAAATATGTTTCATACATTTTAGATTCCTCAAAACCTCAGCCAGCCCGCTTTGCTTCCGTTGACAGGCGCTGCAAACCCTTTGGGGCTTATCTCCTCAGTGAGCTTTCATGGATGTAGTCACCTGAATCGGTTTCACATTCACAGGTGTGCCTTGTCAGGTTCATTTGTGGAATTTCTTGCCTTCATCCAATGGGGGTTTTGGGGAACCCCATCCCCAGTTGTGTTGTGCAGAAAGTCAGGTTTACGGTGGCCACACAGGGCAAACCCGCGCTGGCAAACCGGCCAAAACCGCTGCCAACACAGGATGATCGCGATCCAAAAAACACCCAACAAACACACATAAAACAAATCCCACCCAGAAAAAAACGCAGCCAACAGAAAATGCTGCAATGCACCAGAACGAAGCAGAAGCCAAAACTTACAAACCCACAAAACGAAACTGCAGAAAAGAAAAAATGCTGCAAATACCAAAAACACACAAAACCAACAAACAAGCTCCACGGCCCGCAGAGGCAAACGCTGAAATTCAACTCGCCGGCAAAACAGAAGTGCGCCCAAAAGGCACAAGGGGGGACGCCGACACCTCTGAAGGGATGGACCCAGTCCTGTGGGACCAGACCCGAACCGACATGAAAACCGTAACACAGGTTGGTAAACACAGCCTGACAGCCCCTATTTGACAACCTGTTAGAATTTTTAAGATATTATGAGAACGGCAATCGCTAAGTACACGAGAAATGACAGTCCATCCCCAAATTACTTTAAAGAACTGAAAGTTCAGTCCCAGCTCCGTAACAATTGCAAAAAACTTTGAATGTGGTCCCCCCAAGCTGCAGTGCGCAAAAACCATTCAAAGGCGGCCTAAGACGGAACTGGGCTCACCATGAGGGACCGCCCCCGGAAAGGGAAGACCAGAGCGCCCCCTGCTGCTGAGGATAGTTCATCGAGTCCACCAGCGCCTCAAGAAATCGCGCAAGTTACAGCACCTCAGATTTAGAGCCCAGATGAATGCCACAGAGTTTCTAAGTAGACAGAATCTCTCATGAAACTGTTCAGAGGAGACTGCACGAATGCAGGACCCTTTATGGTCAAGATAGGCTGCTAAAAAACCACTACTCAAAGGAAAAGCCAACAAGCAAAGGATTTGTTTGGGCCAGAAACCAAAAAGGATGGACATTAGACCCCAGTGGAACTCTGTGGCTTTGGTCTGATGGTCCAATTTGAGATCCCTTTGGTTCCCACCCGCTGTGTCTTTGTGGGCCGACGCCAGAACAAGGGTGAACCCGGATGGTCTGCTACCCATGCCATGGTTCCACTGTGGAACGGCCCAAAAAAAATCAAGGGAGGAGGTGTGATTGGTGTGGGGGTGCTTTGCTGGTGACATGTTGGGGATTATTTCAAAATTAAGGCAAAAGCCCACCTGAACCCAGCCAATGGCTGCCACACGCATCCCCTGCAGCACTCCATGCCCATCGCAAATCCGGTTTGCGTTAAATTGGAGCCATCATCTTATTTTTCAACAACCAGGACCAATGACCCAACAAAACACACCTCCCCCCAGGCTGTTTTAGGGCCTATTTGACCAAGAAGTGAGGAGTGATGGAGCTGCTGCGCCAAGACTGATCTGGCCCCTCGCACGGTCACCTGACCTAAACCCAATCGAGATGGCGTTTTGGAGCATGAGATGGAGCTGCACGAGTGAAGCGGCGAAAAGGCCAACAGTGCTCCCAGCATGCTCCTGGGGAACTCCTTTTAAGACTGTTGGCAAAAGCAATTTCAGGTGACGCCGTGTGAGCTCATCGAGAGAATTAAAAAGAGGCGTGCAAGGCAGTAAATCAAAGCGCAAACAGGGTGGCCTATTTTTGAAGAATCTAAAATATAAAAATGTTTTGAAGTTTATTTCACACTTTTTTTCTTTGCTACATAGATTCCATCAGTGTCGTTCATTGATAGTTTCTGATTGGGCCTTCAGTTGAGAATCTACAGTGTAAAGTAGTCATGAAAAATAAAGAACAAGAACGCCAATTTAAATGAAG